GGACACTTCTAATGTGAGAAATGTAATTCAATATTTCATAACAGATGTAGCCTCTACAGTTAGTCTTTTATCTCTGCTTGTAATGAGCGGATATTTAAACCCAAAACATTATGTAATATGTAACTGATTGTAAGAAAATCATCACGCGTTTAAATTTAAAATAGATGCCAAATATGCTGGTTACATACCTCACCTTAAAGCATCTGTACAACAGCCCAGTACTGCATTATTCCTACATATGTTTGTGTGAATGTCTCTGTTTTACAGATGGCCCTATATTAATACACATTGTCCTCCTTTCCCATTTTTCTTTGTAAGCAGATGAGTCATGGCCCTGAATTTGACATTTTTAGAAAACATATAAACATGAAATAGCTTCAGGTCTGATTCTGGCTTACTGGCAAGGTCCATCCGTTAACATTTCCAAACACAACAACCCCTAAAATATGCACATTAAACTGATTTTTTTTTCATTATTACACAGGCCTATGTGGTGCTTGGAAGTACTGGAGAGGAGAACCATGCCAGAGTGGATAGGGAGAGATGGAATAAAAAGAAAGAAGGCCTGATGAGGGGGAGAGGAGAATCCAGCCTGGAAGATTCATAACAAAGGAGACTGACTTTCCAGAATAAATGAGGGGTAAGCAGCTTAAACTGGAGGCCATTATTATTTTTTTTAAAAAAAAAAAGAGAGATTGAGATTTCATTACCATTTTTTTCTATGTTTTCATCCTCCAAGAATTTATCAACTGAAGTGGGGCAAAGCCAATTTCATGTCTAATGATATGCTGAAATTGATTATTCTTTGGCAAGGCAGAGAGACAGGAACTAGCGGGTGTCACTGTGTCCCATGCACCGACCCCACGTTGGCAGCTGCCTCGTCGGAAGCTGCTGACAACGTTTTGTGGCCTTACAAAGCCCATTCCTCACAGGAGTTACGAATGGGAACAGACTGCAGCTGTTACTAAGGAAACTCGAAGCCAAGTTTTGATTCAGCTCATTTTTCCTCGCGTTCCTGGTTGTGCTGTTTGCTGCTGCCTGCTCTGTGTATTCATTTAAGCAGCAAAACATTTGATTCATTGGCTTGTGAATATTACTTATTGACTCATTTACTTATTATGTAAAATAATAAATAAAAGATTGATCTTTTTAACATAGTCCTGAAGGAACCCAAAACGGATGGCATTTTGGGAGGCTCTGGGGGGTTGGCAGAGGGGCAGAATGGGAAGCAGTGGGGCCCGTAAGCCTGTGATGAAGGCACAGACAGGGAGTTGGGCAACCTGCTCCCTGGGCTGTTGGCTCTTACTGGTGTCCCCGCCTGCCCCCCATGCAAGGAGCCTGTCACTGTCCTGTCCTCTGCCCAGGCTTCCGCACTGACCACAGCGGAGTGAATCGCAAATAACCCTGCGAAGAAAAATCAGTACTGAGAAAGCCCGGCTGCAGCCAGGTTAAACATGGAAACAAATGCTCTGCAGTCTCATGTATTTTAAATTAACTCCATAAACCAGGAGAAAAAAATTTACTAAGCTAGCCAGAAAAAGAAAAATGTGACTCACCATTTTACATGGATAAAAAAGTTTCAGTCTGCACCACTTCTGCTCTGCTTGCGGAGGGAGCGTGTGTGAGAACACTCTGATAAAGCAAAGCACTGTCCAGAGGGACACGGCGTCGCTGCAGCCTCACCAACTGCAGCGACAACATCTTATATAACCCCTGCTACCTCTTCACTAATTACATCCCCAGCACTCACTCAGTGGTGCCAAATGTTGCTAACCGTTAGGGTGACAGAAAACGTGAGGCCAGAACTGCTCCTGTCTCCATGTCCCCCGCGGGGAGGCAGTGGGTGCCACCCACAGCCGCCCAACTGCAGCGACGGCTGCCCCAAGGCTGGGGAGGGAACCCAGCAAAGCAGGAGCCACTGAGGGTCAGGCAGTCAAGTTCCAGCTGCCCCAGCTAGAAAGAGAGGCACACTGGGTGCCCAACTCAAATGCCCCTATGGAAACACACGCAGCGCAGGGAATAAACAAGGGGAACCAGAGATGCGTGTGCGACTGCAGGGCCACGATCTCACTGCAGTTGCTGAGACACAGTGGGACAGCTCTCACGACTAGAACGTGGCCATGGATGTCTTCAGGCTTTGTAGGAAGGACAGGCCGGGGAGGCGAGGTGGCAGAGTTGCCCTTTGTGTGAGAGCAACTGGAATGTATGGAGCTCAGCACAGGGGAGGACAGTCGAGAGGCTGCGGGTGAGGATTAAAGGGCAGCCAACAGGGGCGACACTGCGGTGGGTGTTCACTGCAGGCCTAAGGGAGAGCAATGGATGAGGCCTCTGCAGGCCGCTGCAGGAAGCCCCATCGTCCCAGGCCCTGGTCCTCATGGGGGGCTTCAACCACCCTGCTGTCTGCTGGGATAACTGCACAGCTGGGAACGGGCAGTGCAGGAGGTTCCTGCAGAACACTGCAGACAACTGCACGATGCAGGTGGCTCATGAGCCAACAGGGGGAGAGGCGCTGCTAGACCGGATACTAAGGAGCAGAGATGGTCTAGTGGGAAATGTGAGGATTGGGGGCAGTCTTGGCTGTAGGGACCACGAGATGCTGGAATTCACGATCCTGCAAGGAGGAAAGTGGACAAGAAGTAGGACTGCACCACTGGACTTCAAAAGAGCCAAGTTGGACCCCTTCAGGGACTTCCTTGGAGGAATCCCCTGGGCCAGGGCCCTA